GGGGAGGGGCAGAGAGAGAGGGAGACACAGAATCGGAAACAGGCTCCAGGCTCCGAGCCATCAGCCCAGAGCCCGACGCGGGGCTCGAACTCACGGACCGCGAGATCGTGACCTGGCTGAAGTCGGAGCTTAACCGACTGCGCCACCCAGGCGCCCCAATACTGGGGTCTTTCGATCATGATGGATATCAGGTCTGCTCTTCTAAATAAAGGCTCCCCAAGCATGTGGAATCACCCAACCACCTGACCCAGGAGGGCCACACTGCTCGGAACACTGGGCTGTGATGTGCATCTGATCCAAATGACTCACCAGGTGGGACTGAGCTCTCACTTGTCAGTAGGAGAGTGATGCTCAGATTAACAGTTCAGAGGCTCCACTGAGCCTGGCGGCAGGAGAAGATTGATAGATTGACAAAAGGGCCAATATCTACTCCTCATGCCAGGTTCTACTGTTTTAATTAGGGGAGAATAGTGCAGGTGGAGACAGTGCATTGAGGAGTTTTGCTTCCAGGGACCAAGGAGGTTGACATTTATGATAGATTTCTAAAAGCCTGTTATCTGTGACAATAGCTGCCGGGCCTCAGAGTCTCCCCGCGTCTAAGGACCTGTCTGTGGCATTTGAATTCATCACCGTGTCTTCTCAAGAACAGCGTTTTATACAACTGCCACATGCTATCATTCCAAAATGATCTGCCCCTCCAAGGTGTCTTTCCGCCTCCATGCCCTCTGGGTTCAGGACTACGTGCCTGAGTGGCTCAGAATCCATTTGTCTGCATCTCGAGCCGTCATTAAATTCCTAGGAACACCGTGGCCGGGGTGCCTCTGACCTTAGATGTGCTACTGCAAAAATAAATTGTCAATTCTTATTTTGCAAATCGAATTTAACGCAATTTTGGCCTCTGAACTGTAACCAGTAAATTCCATGATGATATTTATGGCCTCTTTCTACTTCGATTTATCTTAATAAATTCTCCAAGTGAGCCCAGAAAGCCAGAATGAAGTCTTTTCAAGTGGTGACTTTAAAAATCTAATTGCTATACTCACTTATTTGCATTCGTAACTGGCGTGGTCTTCCCTCCAGGAGTCAGTTCATGGCAAACGAGCTGGGGGAGAAGACGGGGAGCAATGACTCGAGAGAATTCTAACGGGGAAATAAAGCTCTCTGAAGACGAAAGGGCCCGACGTCAATATCCCTAATAATGACAGACTCGAGGTGGAGCATGTCTGGGGGCAATCATCTTCACAAAAAGCCAGGGCTTCAGTCTCAACAAGCGGACCCTACATGATCAATATGGAAAGTGTCTTCTCATCCGATCCTTGTTCAAACATTTGTAGTAAGGCTTCAAGATGTCGTGGAGGGGACCGTGTTAGCATTTATGAGCACAGAGGATGGTTAAATATATGTTGGTACAGCCATACCCCGGAATGTCATGCAGCTATTAAAAAATATGAGGAAAATGTGTATTTGTTGAGAAGGGAGGAAAAAAGGTTATATGACAACACGCATGGTGTGGTGTCATTTCTACAAAAAAAAAAAATTATAGAGGTGCCTGGCTGGCTCCATCAGAAGACCATGCGACTCTTGATCTCAGGGTTGTGAGTTCGAGTCACGTTGGGTGTAGAGATTACTTAATGAAACTTTAAAAATTACATACGGGCCCAGGGAGAAAAGTCTAGAAGAGCACAGACCACACATTAACAGTGGTGCTCTCCTGGCACTGGCATCAGAGGTGGTTTCGTTTCCATTTTTGTGCTCGTATTATAGCTGAATTTGTGGTTTGCTGTTTGCATTATTTTTACCATCAGGAGAAAAACTGTCAGGAGGAATGTTCAAAATCTGATTACAGATTTGAAATCCATAGAATCAATTGTTTTCCTCAACCTCAAGAACTTCTGGGGTCACTTAAAAATCAAAGAGCGCATGATTTGAAAGCTGATTTTAACAGAAATTCTATTAACATAATACCCTAGGTCTCTAATGATGAAGAAAGGAACAACCGTGGACCCCTAGTCCCACTGCTGCCAACACCTCGGGGCAACCAGAGGATTTTAAAGCTGAAGGGCCTCTGGCAATCACTCAGCCTCGTGTTTCCCAGAAGGGGCTCCATGGAACACCACGTCTGTGGGCTACCACTTGGAGAATGGCTCTCTCTCCCCCTGGAAGAGTTCTGAGACCCAGCGAGCTGGGGAGGGCAGAGGTCAGCACAGCTCACTAGGTTTCTCCCTCACAGGCCAGTGTGCTGGGGGTGGTGGTGGGGGAGGCTCTTCGGAGGGTGGGGCCTGCAGGTGTTTACCGAGTGACGCTGGTCCCAGCCAGGACTCACGTTCAAGAACGCACTTTTGTGAGATAAGGGAAGTGGGGCTTGGGGAGACTGAGTGACCTCCCTGAGGTGATGCAGGTATGGCTCCAAGAAGCCAGCTCAGCACCACGAAGCTCCTGGTCTAGGCTCACGCAGGTGTCCACTGGGATGTAACTAGAGGGCGCTGAAGGTGCTGAGGGGAAAAGCCAAAAGGAAAACTCTGGGAGCAAACTCCTCTGCTGGTGCAGTTTCAAGGGTCTTTTCTTCCTGCCCTGCTCTTTATGATGAGCACGAGCAAGGACTGGATTCTGTCCGAGGCACTTCCTCTCGGGTGGCTTCTTCCCCTCTTCAAGTCACAAGACTCTGTGTGTGACAGCTAATCCTCACCATGGTAACAAAAAGCAATGTTACCAACGGGGAATTAGAGCTTCCATCAGGAAAGGCCCAGAGTGCGAGCTAAGCAAAGCAGGGTCTCCGTGGGGAGCTCTCTGAGGGCCAGGCAGGCAAAGGCCAGGTCAACTGGGATCGGAAAAGGGAGATCCCTCCTTGCTGGCTAGGAGGGAGAAGGGGGATGGGCGAGGGAGCCGGGGACGAGGACAGACAGCTGTGGTTTGTGGACCTCCTCCTGGGGGAAACACTAAGTGTTGGGAAGGTCTCGGGAAGCCGGTGGAGGGCGGCGAAGAATTGCTCAGCCCTAGAGGCCGACCTACCTGACCCATGACGTCCTCATCGTAAGACAGAGTCAGGCCCAGGTCAGCGATGTCCCCTTCGTAACGCTAATGCAACAGAGAAGGGGCAAGTGTTGGGATCCAGGAGGGCTAGGACCTCGAAGGTCTTAATACTTCCCCTCCTACTGAAGCAAAGGGAAAGGCTCCTCACCGCGAGGAAGGGGGTAGAAGCGCCAGAAGGGGACGCAGGGGCCTGTGGTGGCTGCAGAACAGCCCCTGTCCCACAGGAGGAAGCTGCCTTCCACCACCCGAGAGCCCCGAGGCCTTCACTTCACTGCGTTTGCACTGGCCTGCAGCCAGGCCTTCTGCCGTGCCACACTGACCTTAATAGAAGTGAGGTTTTTGTAGAACTCTGAGTCCAGTGAAGGAAGCTCGTCCACGGAGCTATAGAAGACACTGTGGTGGTGCCCGAGCAGCTGGCTCAGGAAGAAGGAGGCGAAGGGCACGTCCACCACAATTCCCTGTGAGAGGAAAGACAGAAGCTTGCCTGTCTGCCCCACGGGATTCCGTTTCGGTGACCTCGTCGGGCCGGCCTGGGCCGCAGAGGGGCTCCAAGGGCACCAGTGAGATCTCTAGACGCTGCCTAAACTTCCCCGGTGGAGACCAGTACCTCCCGCCACCTGGATCAAGTGTCTCTGGGGGACGTCACAGCACAGCAGGTAAGGGCACAGGCTTTGGAGCTGCAGAGCCTCGGGATCAAATCCCAGCTGCCCAGCTGCCTGGCTGTGAGGACATCGGCTCTCTCATCTGTAAACGGGGCCCCGCATAGCCTCGCCATTTTAAGGATTAAATGAGCAGGCTGGAAAGGAACGGGGAGCACAGGCTCTCACCTGGAGGCAGGGCAGGGGAAGCCTCCAGGAGAGAGACCTATCTAAGCTAGACCTAAGGAGCACAAGGCCCACAGGTGTGTTCTAGGAAGGGGACACAGAGCTCTCTGGCCACAGCACGGTGTTCGGGGGAGGAAAGGTGAGGGGGTGAGGCCAGAGAGGAGGCAGGGCCAGATCAGGAGAGGTCTCTGGAGCTTCCTGGAGTCTGGACTCTATCCCGAGGGCAGCAGGGAGCCCCAGGAGGGCTCTAAGCAGGTTTGCACTTGAAATGGGGAAGGCACCGGAGGAGGAAAATAGGAGGTGGGGACACAGCAAGGAAACACGCATTACACTGAGGAAAACGGACAGATTGTTCTAGGTGGAGAGAAGATCACAGAGATTTGAAAGGGACAGGGCTCAGAGTCAATGATGGCCTGGCTCAGAGGGCTGAGTGAGTTAACGTGAGTTAACACACACTGCCCCCCACACAGACCCAGCATGTCCTAACTTCTCCCTGTGCTGTTACTGCTGGGGGAGGAGACAGACACTGGGTCCAGGGAACAGGGAGCACATTCCCAGAATGACGAAGGCACACTTCTCAGCGGGCCCGACTCTTCTGGCACCTCGTGTTTCAAGGAGAAACATGGCATGTGGCCAAGTACATCCTCATGGGATTTCTTCTTTACATGGGAATCGCCTGAGAAATGGTGGAAACAGAAACACAGAAAAGGAGCCCAGGACCCCCAACCAGCCCAGGGCAGGAGGCAGCCCGAGGGAGCTTGGGGCAGGGACGCAGACAGAGCACCTAACCGCACCACGGCCAGGGACCGAGGCCGTGGACGGAGGCCATTTACGCAGAGAATAAGTATGCTCGGCCACAGGGCCTCTCTCCCTCCATCTGCCCCAGCCCCCGGCTCTGCTTCGGAGGGAAGCCTGGCTTCCCTGGGGTCTGTGACGGGGTGAGAAGGGAGAGCTGCTCAGGCATCTCTGGAGCCCACCGTGAAGGCCACGAGAGCGGCAGCCCACGAGCTCCCACGGCAGCTTTACTTCCTGCCTGGGGAGCAGGACCCTAAGGGCGGGACCCAAGTGCCACCTGGCTTGGCTCACGGTGGACAGGGAGCAGCAGCTGCGTGGGCCTCACCTGGAGTCTGCACGAGTCCACACCACCCTGACCCCATGAGACCGAGGAGCCAGGCACCACAGGTGTTTTACCTGTATTAGCTCATTTACCATCTACAGCAAGCCGATAACGTAGCTTTTGTCATCCCTACTTTTTCTGACGCCAACAAGGGCCTAGAGAAATAAAAGCAGGGGCACCTGGGTGGCTCAGTTGGTTGAGCGTTTGACTCTTGACATCGGCTCAAGTCATGATCCCAGGGTCATAGGGTTGAGCCCTGAATCGAGCATGGAGCCTAAGATATTCTCTCTCTCTCTCCCTCTCTCTCTTCCCCTCTCCCCTGCTCCTACTCCCTCTCTTTAAAAAAAAAAAAAAAGAAGAAGAAAAAAGAAAAAAAAAGGGAAATAACAGCAACTTGCAGGTGCAGTCACACAGCTGGCCAGGGAAGACCGGTCTCAACCAGGAGCTGAGGCTCTGGAAGGCCCTGCCTTCCTTGCCTTCTGTAGGCAACACCCGGACCCCCGTGGCTGGCTCTGACCCTGTGGCTGGCTCTGAAGCACTCACTCCAATGACAAAAGATTTAAATGTAAAAAGAGCCCTAACAACTATCACACCCCACAAAATGCTGCCCTCCTGGGGACCAGGAGGGACCAGGCCAACCTGGGTTTGAAGTTGGGTTCTACGGATTAACTACCACTGAGACTCTGGACAAGCGTCTCAAAGCCTCAGTTCTGTCACCTGCGGGTAAATGGGACAGCAGCAGCCACACCGCAGCACTGGCGAGAGGATGAAATGACATAACGTGCAGAAAGCACCAAGTGTTTCTGTCCAGTAATCTTGGGTCCTGTCCTCTTTCCTGGACTGTCCTAACGACTTTCCTAACGACAGGTCCTTTACGTGGCCGGGCCCGGTCACCAAAACGCGCATGAAGTCCACGGGGCTTCTAACATCTCATTTTCCCTTCCGGGGTGATGCTCCTGAACATGCCTACCTCATACACAGCCTTCCCCAGCATCTTGCCCACAAACTCGAAGAGCTGTAGATAGTTCTCATGAATGTAGGACGTGGGTGAAGGGTACAGCCTCTCGTCCCCGCTGGTTGTCTGTGAGGAAGAACGGAGAGAGAGGCAGGGAGGTTAAATGCCTTGTGAAGAGCAAGCCCAGCCCTTCGCTTCTCGTTTGTCACCGAGAACCTGACTGCTGTCAGCCCCGCTCCCGCTCCCCTTAAATACCTTGAACAGATTGAGTGCCGGGTCAAACACCCTCTTGATGATTTCCTCCAGGAACTCCTTGAAAACACCGTCCTGGTCAATGCCGGCCTCGTCCACCCCGAGGTCATTGACGAACTTCACACGGATCACACCCTTCATGGCGTGCTGGGACAGCTGCCGGAGCTGCTCGTAGCCATCCTGCCGAGAGCAGAATTGCAGCCCGTCAGGAGCGGGAGGGCTTCTGCGTAACTCAGGGCTGCCTCCCCAAGGCTCCTGCTCCCGTGCGAATCCTTCCCGGCATAATTGCTAAACAGTTAGGACGCAGGGTGCGGGGCGGGGGGATGAGCAGTTCTCACCTGCTTGTACAAGAGCCTGTTAAAAGGAAAACTCATTTTGGGGATGTGACGCCACTGCTGTGTGGCAAGGGGAGGCTGCCTCTGAGACGATGCGGAGCACCAAGACAGGGAAACCAGGCAAGGTGAGTCGACAAGCTCTCGGCCATCCCATCCCATCCGCACAAAGGATGGAAGAAACTGGGACAAGATCCTACCCTCTATTTTAATGCAAAGAGTAGCTTATTTAGCTCACGGTAAAAATCAGTCGGTGAGACTCATAGATCACCAGAAGGTGAGAAAAGTAAGTACCCCCCACTGCTCAACTCCTGGAATCTTTCCCCAGATCAGGAAAGGCCTGGTGAGTCAGTCTGAGGAATTTAGTGCCTGAGGGCACTAGGGAGCCAGAGAAGAGTCCAGGCGAGGGGAGACATGACTGGCTTTCTCAGAAATATCGTTGTTGATGGCACAGCAGCTGGAAGGAGGGGACAAGGGTGCAGGAGTGAGTCAAGGGTGCAGGAATGAGTGATGCTGGGCCCACAGGCAGGGGCAGGGGGGAGGAGAAGCCTGCAGCCAGCCCTCGAGGCATGCAGCCATCTAGTACCCGAGGACACGACTTTAGAGTTCTTGTCATCATCTTGTTTAGTCTGTCTCTTGATTCTAATCTGTCAAGGTCTCCTAGGTTCCTCGCGCGCGCGCGAGCGCTGATAAGCCGGCCGCTCAGGTGTTCGTTTCAGAGCAGTGACTGTCAGAAATAGTGCTGAACAGGACAGCAGCCAGGGAGGAGTCTTCTGATCCAACATGAGCCGCCCCGTCATGAGGGAGAAGCCGTCATAGGGGAGAAAGTGAGCTCTTTAGATCCTGTCGCAGAAGGTGCAAATCAACTGCAATATCCCTACGGAGGCCGCCCCACGGGTCTCCCTCTCAAGGCATGACTGCAGTGCCGTGAGACGTTCTGCTAACACGAGACAGATCATCTCTATGGCATCCACCTGTCTGCCAGTCTGGTCCCTTGTCACAAAGCACACGAGGCCAGAACAGTAAGACCTGCTTTGGGAAACTCTTGCCACCTTCCTGCTGATCACGTTCCTCTGGTGACGCAAAGGACTGTCCCATGGTGGCTCCCGATCTTATTCTGGGGTGAGGGTCCCAAGTTAGTGAGCCAGTAATAACTACCTCTGAGGGTCTTTGGAAGGCAGAGGACCACGGTTTCGGGTGCACAGGCCCGTGAAGTATCCTGTATGCATGTGGAAGTCTGAAAACCATGAAGTTAGATGGAAAGAAGCGGGAAACAGAAGTCACTGTGCAGCGCCAGCGGCAGCCTTTAAACCACGTGTCTCCATTTGAGATCACCATCTTGGCACAGAGTCGGGGATGGGTGGAGAATTCCAACATCTTCTTGCTTGCTTGCAGGATTTCCTCCATTCTGCTTTGAAATGATGCCTCCTAGCTTTACTTCCCATTAGGAGGGGTGTCGGTATCATGCAGATTAAACGAGATGGTGTCCTGGGCAAGCACTTAGCACATGGCTGAACACACGGCAAGTACTTAAGAAATGCTCGCTGGAATCAAATCTTATTTATTTTTCATTTTTCATTTATTATTGATTGATTGATTGAAAGGGGTGGGGTGCGAGGGGCAGAGAGAGAGAGGGAGAGAATCCCAAGCAGGCTCTGCGCTGTCAGCTGACTCGGGGCTCGATCTCACAAACCATGAGATCCTGACCTGGCTGAAATCAAGAGTCAGACACTTAACCGACTGAGCCACCCAGGCGCCCCTCAGTTTTTCTTCACCAGCCCCACGTTGGCCTTTTCTCTGAAGGGCTATAGAGAGGAATTTGCCAGCTGCCTCCTAACTGCCTGCTGCACCCCACATCCTCCGGGCACCGGCGGCATCACACAAGGATTCAACCTGTGTCTGTCCTTCCTTCCGGGAGGTGGGTCGGAGGAGGGCGTTCCTCTTCTCTACTGCATCTCAAAGACCCTGACCTGGGACGAGAGCTGGCTCCCAGGCGCGGCTCTCCCACTGACACCTGAATGGAGCTGACTGTGAGTCGTAACTTCTCTGGCCTCAGTTCTGCCTTTGACAGAGTGAGGGGACAGGGCTGGGCAGAGTATGGCTAAGGTTCCTCCTGGTTCTCAGATGCTACGGTCCCGGCCCCCGTTCACCCTCTGTGAGGGGACACCTTCCTGCAAAACTTCAGGCTGACACCTGGAAGCGGGGTACTAAGGCAGCACCTTCAGTACAAACCACAGAAGAGGGAACCGAATAAAAGCCCGGGATATCCCAGGGGCGGCTAATATCGGCTTTGTGATGCCCCCTTGTGTCCAAATCCAGCAAATGCGCGCTCCTGTTCTAACCACCAAACCACCACAGGAGAATGACTAGAGTGACTGAATATATGACCCTCTCCCCTTCCCAATTCGATATGAACAACAGTAATCAGGTTCATGATGAGACAGACTCTAATGGAATATGGAAAGGAAAGCGGACTTGGCCTAAAACCTAAGAAAGACATCCCTCCTCGGACATCCCTGGAGGCTGTGTTGGAGCAAGCAGGCCCAGGGTAACGGGGACGTCAGGTGACTCTCCCATACGCAAGGACGCTTGAGGGAGTTGGGGATTCCGTCATTCTCAGGGCGCACCAGTCCCTAGCACCCCAGACTTCCCGACTGTCAGGAAGTGACACGTCAGGGCTGGCCGCGTCTGAGCGGGACTGAAGACGTTAAGGGACGGGGGAGGAGCGTGCAGGTCCGACCGAAGAAAGTGCTGCAGGAAGGAGTTTCCAAACCCACTCGGTCTTTCTCTTCTTGGAGTCAAAGCAAAGCTTGCAAACTGGTGGCCCGCAGGTTGAATTTGCCGGGAAGACAGGTGTTATCTAACCTTCCAGGCACATTACCAAATTCCATTAGCTCTCAACATAAAAGCTCTGGGGATCTCACACAAAACCCCGCATTTTGGCCTTCTAAAAACCCAGAGCATAGTGAAGCCTAAGTCCCCACAAAGAAGTAGTCAGGTGGAACTGGGTGGAGGCGGTCTCCTTTAGGGGGCACGTGCTCCCCACCTACCCACCCCTCTCTACTGCTCGAGAACAATGAGGCTGGACGCCAGGTGTCATTTATCCACTCACTCGTGGGGTCCTTTTTCTTAAGTAGTGACCTAAACTGCAGGCCGTGTTTCAGAGAACGCAGGGTGGGGGGAGCCAGGGAAGTGAAGAAGATTCCTGTCGTTCAGCATGCAAACAAGATGCTCCTGCGTGGACACACTCGGCCAGCTTCACCCATTCCCACGACCAGCAGGGTCCCTGTAGGCACTTACATTTCTTACCTCTACTTTCAAGAATGTCAAAACTGTCACCTGGTTACCACATGGTGCCTTTCCCCAGCAGACCCCAGTGTTAGTCACCAGTGGCCGGGGGGGAACTGAAAGCAGCACTCCAGGAAGGAGCGTGAATCCCCCAAGGGAGAAAATGAAAATGTGTCGGGAGGAAGGGCTGCTGCCGTGGCTACTGGCCGGTGGCTGGCTACGTGGCCACGCGCTGTCCTGAGATCCCGCGACTGCCCTCTGCTGCAGAACAGGCTAATGAGGAAACGTGGCTGAAGCGAGATAAAAGGTCTGAAGAGCAAGCATGGGCAAATAAACCCAGCCTAGTCTCTTCCAGGAATGTGGGCTTGGGACTCAGTCACCAATTCTACCACCGCTGGTGGGATCCGCACGTTTGGGCAGGTTCCGCACTGCACAACCCTGGGGGAGGGTACGGCACACACAACGCAGACCTCGCAGTTACATACGTTTATTGTAACGACGTTCCAGCAGACGGTAGTTGGTGTCTTGTTCCAACAGAATCAATATATTATTACAATTTTCTGACATATAGAGGTGACGTGTTCTGAGGACAGGCACCAATTTCTGGCACACGTGAAGCTGCCACATAGCAGCAACCGTGGACACTGGGTTGGCTGAGGTGAGCCACTTCACTTGTTCCTCCCAAGTTCATGTCTACCAAGAACTCCTAGGTCTAGAATACATGCACTTCGCAGTATGGCTCAGTAAACTTACTACCTACGCTCCAGCCTCCACATTCACAGTTGGGAGTCTGGGCAAAGTGCCTGCCAGGACGAATGGAGTTTGCACAGACACGAGAACGCCTGCACGTGGCACTTCCTGCGCAAAGGGGCACAGTGCTCAATGTTCCAGCCCGGGGGACCCGCATGGGGAACAGGAAGGGAAACACTGCACTGCGGGTTCCCGACACTGAGGACATGTTTAATCAAGCGGCTCTTCAGAGCCGATCCCAGGACACATGGCCCCATTCCGCTCCCTAAGTCTCGATTTCGGGGTCATCAGACCAGGGGGTGACAAGGACAGTTCACAGGCAATAGATCGTCCCTTAAAAACCCCACGTCTCACAGAGTACACCTTTTTGTGATGGGCTTCTCACCTCCAACATGCGGGACCGTCGGATTGTAATGTGGGTGACGTGGGGAGAGGCTGAGCTGGTTTCCACGAGCCCCAGTTTCTCCTTCTCCTTGGTAACCATGTTTCGGAACAGGAGAACTCTCTGAAATGAGCAAAGGTGAGACCAGGAACTGGGTCAACAATGGATGATTCCCTAAGACACGCTGTACGGGACTAACGAAACAAGTCACGCGAGAGGCCACCACGCTCTGATAGATGCTACAGGTCAGAAGTGTCTGGGGAGAACAGCAGACGTTCCCCAAAACAACCTTGGGAATTAGAAATCTAGCTGAGTACATGCCAAGGAAGAAAGGCCCCAGAAAGAGTGGTCTGGCTGCAGCCACAGTCCGGTTAAAAATAGTCTGGAAGCTGGGACGCCTGGGTGGCTCATTCAGTTAAGCATCCGACTTGGGCTTGGGTCATGATCTCACAGTTCATGGGTTTGAGCCGCACAATGGGCTCTGCACAGCGTGGAGTGTTCTTGGGATTCTCTCTCTCTCTCTCTCTCTC